CCTGTGGAACTGAACTGACTGACAATTACAAATTCAATTTAAATCACAAATTTACTCAAAGCCGAATTATCAAACAAATTCGAAAATTTAATTAATTTTCCAAAGTACTATCGAATTATATAATGACAGCATTGGAAATCTGGGTTTAAGGTTCATATTTTTTACTTTCTGATGTCATCCGAATGAAACACATTCATTCATTATTTTAATTATAAGTTTTTAGGATTTATTTACATTCATTACTATGTCCATTTGAAGAATTTGATACATCCGAATCTTTGAAAATTATATTTCCGCACAAAAATCTATTTGTGATGAAAAGCACATGTCCAAATGCAACTCAAATGCACTCCAAATGCACCACAAACACATTAGACCTGGTATACACCAGTGGTTGGGGACAGAATAAATAGACAGTTGAGCGTCCAAAATTGAGGACTGTCCTTAGAAACCGGGAACGTCTGGTCACCCTACAGTAAGTAGATATGCAGCAAAATTGCCAAGAGTAATGGATTGACTTACAACTTTAAAGTATATGTAAACCCTAATATTATTTTCGTATACAATCAAAGGGATCAAAATGTGGCTGTACACTTGCAGTGATAATTGCCTGTTGATCCTGACAGTTTGCCTTGCCTATGTAACTTCTTTTAATAGGTTGGTGTAACGGAACCGACCCCAGACTGCACTTGGGTACTTCCATTAGAATACCGGTTCCCTGTCCGAACACCGACCACAGATACCACAGCAGACCATACAAGACTAGTTGACACCAGTCTTGAAGCAAACCAGGAAATAGACTACATTATTTTAACACAGATACAAGATATATACATTTAAGGGAACAATCCCCCCTCCCTGCATAATGACACAGGGCGGGGCAATCTACATTTAGTAACAAAAGACACACCAGCAGACAGTCCCATCAGTAGGGAGGTCTGCTGGAGACACCCCCCACCAAGCCAATACACAAACATATACATCCCATAATAGTTTGCTCCCAAGCAAGACACACAATAGAACAATGGGATGCAACCACATGGCATTAAACAATCAACAACCCCCCACCCCAATATTAGGACATTTCACCCTGTACCCCTAACAGGCACAGGGTGACTTACACATAATAGGGATATGGGGAGCTGAGACAAGGGTCTCCCCACCTCTCCAAAGTAAGCTGTGTTCCATGGGCCCCCCACCCAAAGTGACTGCCGTCACAGTTGGCAATGGCAAAACACCGGCTCCGTGTGCTTCAGGAGTGTGGTTCTCCCTCCAGTACAAATTAGAGGCAGCTGTTGTCAGCCAATATGATATAACCAATGACTCCTGCAGATGTTGACGCTCTTCCCAGAGCTGCCTTCCTCAGTGCCCTCCCACAGCCCTGGGTTTGGGATGGGCCTGTGCCCACTAACGTAAAAAAAAAGTAACTAAATATATTTTTATAGCCTAACTCTGGTATTTTTTTTTTTTTGTAGGGTCCCAGAGGTATTGTAAAAAAAAATAAATGTAAAAGTCCACCGTAAGTGTGAAAACAATTAACTTGTGATATAACGTCTCTGAAGGCTCCTTTCACACAGGCGTTCCGTATGTCTGTTTTTCATCCATCTGTTGACGGATGAGAAATGGACAGAAAACAGATGTAAACAGATGGTTATCTGCCTTCATCCTAACAGAAAAGAAATGCAGTTCTTTACATTTATGGTCACCACACCACAGTGATCCTTCACTGCATTCTTATTAAAATTTTCTTACCAGAGCAACTTGACCAATATGTAGCACTACCCCCGTAGGAGTCGCTGGGATTGGGTTCCCCTAAGCTAAGCACAGCCAGGCAACACACATTTTCCTCACCTGTCCACATGTACAGAGTCAGTAAAACAGTCCTTGAGCTGGTTTTTAGTTGTTTTTTTATTAGGGGTTAACAACTTGGATGGGGTCTAGCGGTATATGGGATGCCCAAGGAACTGTAGAACTTGAGGACAAATTTCTTAGCAACTATGTACAAAAAATATGGACTAGCAAAAATGTAGCACTATTCCTTTTTTGGTGTACCTCCCCAGACCCTGAATGAAGACTTCTCTTCACCCAGTTGTTCTGAGGGTATGTCTGAGCAAGGGAGTCTCAAGAGCTTGCAGTCAAGCAGTCCCAGATGAAGACTCGATCATTACACCTGACTGCCCTCTCCCCTTATCTGGCCCAGGAGGTGTAGAAGTACTCACGCTGTCCTGTCAGCACAATGGGTTGGTAGCTGCTTTCAAGGCTTTCCCTGCTGCTCAGGATGTCCTCCCCAGGAGACATTAGGCAGTAGAGATCCTCCTGTCCAGCAACCAGCCTGTTGGTAGGTTCCCCTTCCTGGGTCCCCATTCCCAGGCTCCATACTTCAGCCTTCCTCACAGTCCATCTTCCACCCAACTCCCCTTTCTCCCCTAGCTCTGTCATATTTGAGGGTTGCCCTGGTCACCATGCTCAGCCTCCTGCCAAGGGATTGGCCAAGGTCCCTCAAACATGCAAATCTGTGCCTCCTCTCCTGTTCCAGAACTTTCTCTAGTTTCTGGAGAAGTGGGAGAGCTCCAGAAGCTCTGACCTGTAGAACCACCCAGCCTGTCCTGAGGTGAACTCCTGCCTCACTCCCAGGCTGACTCATCCCAGGCTGCTACTCAGCCTCCATCTAACAAAAAATCCTATATAACTAACCTGGAGGGCGTTACATGTCAATATGCGTTTTGTAGCACTAATCATATACAGGTTTCTATTGTTCATTCTCAGATTCTCCAGAATGCTCATGAAAAGGAAAGCCAAGGGTGCCACATAGAGGGATAATAACAGACCACTTCCAGACTCCAAGATGCGTGATGACGTCACAAACATCAGCTCTGGCCTATGCATTTCACCATAAATGAAGGGGGGAACAGGGATCCCCCTTCCCCTTACATTTTTGATGAAACGGAAAAAGGAAAGCAAGAACTAAGATAAAAATAGAGGCTATCATCATTGACAAATGCTATGTACCTGGCTGTCTTAAAGTGGTTCTAAAGGTTTAAAGTTTTTTTGTGTTTTTTCTTAACCCAAATGCATTCTCTGCATTAAAGTACAAAACCTTCTATAATCAGGATTCCCCCCAGCCTCTCTTTATACTTACCTGAGCCCGATCTCGTTCCAGTGCTGTGCCTAACATCAGCAGTCCTCTCCACTTTCCCTTTTCATTGGCTGAGAGACAGCAGCAGGAGCCATTAGCCATTAGTTTTATAACCGCAACTTTAAGAACATGCATTTTAAGTAATATGTCATTGTAACACCTTCAGGTATTTATTTCTTCTCACAGCAAGGGCATACCTGCAGGATTTGCAGGGGTCGCAATTGTGACCCGGCCCCATGCTGTAGAAGGCCTGTGAGCCCCCCCCATACAGCTGGATAGAGGAGCGGCGGGGGCAGCTGCATACAGAGGGAGGAACTAATCTTTCTATGTGTCTCCTGCAGCCTCTGAATGCCTTCAGGAGGGAGAGAAGTAGAAGCAGGCATTCACCGGCTGCAGGAGAAACATGGAGAGATCAGTTCCGCTATATGGCCCCACTGCTCCACCTATCCAGCTCTTTCTTTCCTGCTGCCCCTCCTGTTCTCTCCCACCCCCCATGCTCACACTCTCCAGCCTCCTCCCCCATAGCGCTGCCAGGCTCTCCCCTCTGTGTCTGCTGTGGGGGATCTGTCAGGACAGAGAGCTGAGAAGGGGCCGATAAATGCAGCCACTTTCTTTTCAGAATGCAGAGTCAGTGATCTGTACCATATTGGTTGTCCATCTGTCTAACCACGTTTACTATGTTCCTGTCCATTCATTCTGTACAGCAGAGGCTGCAGGGATGGAGATTGAGGGCTGTGTCCTTGATCTCCTTTCTCTGTCTCAAAAGTGGAACATCAGAGGTCTGTTTAGAAACCTGATATCTCACCAAAAAAATAATAAAAACAAAAAATTTAAATGGTAAAATAAACAAAATCTACTGACACCAGTGGTGGAACTACCAGGGTCACAAAGGATGCACTTGCGACCGGGTCCTGGCATTCCACCACTGGGTTCAAATTGAAGGGGGATCAGGGTGGCCCTTCATGTTTTTTTACACCAGGGTCCTGAAAGTTCTAGTTACTCCCTTGACAACTCCTAAAGTGTTACTAAATCCGGGACCATGCATTCACTAAATCTGGTCTCCCCGGACCCTGCATTCACTATATCTGGTCTCCCAGGTCCCTGCATTCACTATATCTGGTCTCCCCGGACCCTGCATTCACTATATCTGGTCTCCCAGGACCCTGCATTCACTATATCTGGTCTCCCCGGACTCTGTATTCACTATATCTGGTCTTTCTGGACCCTGCATCCACTATATCTTGTCTCCCCGGACCCTGCATTCACTATATCTGGTCTCCCCGGACCCTGCATTCACTATTTCTGGTCTCCCAGGACCCTGCATTCACTATATATGGTCTCCCTGGGCCCTGCATTCACTATATCTGGTCTCCCAGGACCCTACATTCACTATATCTGATCTCCCCGGACCCTGCATTCACTATATCTGGTCTACCTAGACCCTGCATTCACTATATCTGCTCTCCCTGGACCCTGCATTCACTATATCTGGTTTCCCCGGATCTTGCATTCACTATATCCGGTCTCCCCGGACCCTGCATTCACTATATATGGTCTCCCTGGACCCAGCATTCACTATATCTGGTCTCCCAGGACCCTGCATTCACTATATCTGGTCTCCAAGGACCCTGTGTTCACAATATCTGGTCTCCCCGGACCCTGCATTCACTATATATGCTCTCCCAGGACCCTGCGTTCACTATATCTGGTCTCCCCGGACCCTGCATTCACTATTTCTGGTCTCCCCGGACCCTGCATTCACTATATCTGGTCCCCCCGGACCCTGCATTCACTATAACTGGTCTTTCCGGACCCTGCATTCACTATATCTGGTCTCCCAGGACCCTGCATTCACTATATCTGGTCTCCCCGGACCCTGCATTCACTATATCTGGTCTCCCCGGACCCTGCATTCATTATATCTGGTCTCCCCGGACCCTGCATTCACTATATCTGGTCTTCCCGGACCCTGCATTCACTATATCCGGTCTCCCCGGACCCTGCAGTCACTATATTCGGTCTCCCAGGACCCTGCATTCACAATATCTGGTCTCCCAGGACCCTGCATTCACTATATCTGGTCTCCCAGGACCCTGCATTCACTATATCTGGTCTCCCCGGACCCTGCATTCACTATATCTGGTCTCCCAGGACCCTGCATTCACTATATCCGGTCTCCCCGGACCCTGCATTCACTATATCTGGTCTCCCAGGACCCTGCATTCACTAGAACTGGTCTCCCCGGACCCTGCATTCATTATATCTGGTCGCCCATGACCCTGCATTCACTATATCTGGTCTCTCCCAGGACCCTGCATTCACTATATCTGGTCTCCCACAGTACACACAACAAGGAAATGCATTATTTTAGTAAATATAAACTGCTAAATACCTTTTTTCATCAGCAGTTAGAGCAGTCCTGAGACTTCAGCAAAGCACTGGTCAAAGCTTGTAGTTTTCTTTTTGCTCTAGGAGGATGCAGAAACCCTGACCTCTGCCTGGACAGTGCTGATTGGCCCTGTGCTGATCACATGCACTCTCCAAAGAAAAAAAAAAACCTGACTAGCAATACACACTAAGCTGGGCATGTGCAGAGTGTTCCCACACAATATGTCTTATCAGGAGATCAGAGGGGAGCATTGGAAGAAGGAGAGGATCAGAGAAGTCAGGATCAAACAGCGTTTTTACACAATGCAGAGGGTTAACCCCTTAGATTTCACAGTGAGTATAACAAGCATGCTTTACTGCACATACGGACTGATTTTACTGCTGTGTGTCTAGTAACACTTTAAGTCTGCTTATCTCTCCATTTTTGTTCAGGCATCAACCGGAGCCACCATCTACTTCCTGGCCAGCTCAGAGAGGACACAGTCATTTAAATCCTGGTTTCTGTGTAATTCTTAGCTGTGTTCGCAAATGTCTGACACAGAACAGCCCCTTTTTGCTCACTAAACACACATATTTTCCCTGTAAATGGAGTGTAGCAGGATGCAAAGCATATGGTACAGGAGAGGTAGGCCTGTTATCTCTGTAAGCACGGCACAGACAGAGAGAACAATCAGTAAGATTTGGGGAAATCTAGGCATCCATCATGTATTCTTCTAACAGTAATTACACTCAGGCATAGATTTATACTTCCTGCCTCTCTCAGACAAATATCCTGAGCTGGATCACGAAGCAGAGAGTCTACGGGGCAGTGTCTGCCTTAGGTTGAGTTTTGCAATGGAAGCTGATTTTTTTTACTCGAACTCCTTTTGGGGTGATACGTGTTTTTCATGTTTTTAGACCCCATTTATACCCACTTCAGCTCCGAAAGGTTTTACCCCCCTCATGACCAGGCTATGTTTTTCTTTTCAACACTGTGCTATTTTACCTGGTAATTGTGCGGTCATGCAACGCTGTACCTAAACTAACTTTATATCATTTTATTCACACAAATAGAGCTTTCTTTTGGTGGTATTTAATCACCACTGTTTTTTTTTATTTTTTGTGATATAAACAAAAAAAAAGAAAATAAAAAAAAAACTATATTTTTTACTTTCTGCTATAAAACATAATAATAATAACAACAATAATAATAGTAATAGGGGCGCACTGACCATTGGGAAACTCGGGCACTGCCTGAGGGCCCGGGGTCAGTAGGGGGCCCCATGAAATGCCCCTGGTACCTTTTTTATAGGCTTTTTTGAGTGTGGGCAAGGACACAGGGGCCCCATGATCCCCTATTGCCCGGGGGCCCCATGAGTTTGTCAGTCCGTCCCTGAATAGTAATAATAAAAAAAGTCTGCATAAATTGTGGCCAAAATGTATTCTGCTACATTTTGAAAAATTTGAAAAAACTTTTTTTTTAATTTTGAAAAAAAAAAAAACTATATTTTTTACTTTCTGCTATAAAACTATCTAATAATAATAAAAATGTATTCTTAAATTGTGTCCAAAATGTATTCTGCTACATTTTGAAAAAATTTTTTTTTTAAGTTGGAAAAAAAAAAAACTATATTTTTTACTTTCTGCTATAAAACATATCCAATAAAATAAAAAAAAATCAAATTTCTTCATAAATTTTGGCCAAAATGTATTCTGCATGTCTTTGGTAAAAACAATCCCAATAAGTGCATATTGATTGGTTTGTGTGAATGTTATAGAGTCTACAAACTATGGCATATACACTGCAATTTTGTTTTATTACTACTAATGGTAGTGACCAGTGACTTATAATGGAACTGAGATAGTGTGCTGGGCAATCTGACACTAACTGACGCTGGGGGGGGGGGGGGGGGGGGGGGGGGGGGGTGACGGTGTGCGGTGTCCAACCCCAGACCTTCTAACCAACTCTTGCACGAAGGACCAGCCAATCGCGCACCATGCTGTCACTTGCATAACAATGCCACTGCCACCACCTCAACAATAGACCCCCATTCAGCAGCAATAGCTCCACCCCAGCAGCAATAGATTTGTCAGCAGCCAGCAACATTGGACCCCCCCATAACTAAATCCCCCCAGCAATAATAGATCCCCTTACAAACAAATAACCCCTTAACAACACTAGACCCCCATTCAGCAAGCAATAGATCCATCCCAGCAGCAATAGATTTGTCAGCAGCCAGCAACAATGGACTCCCCCATAACTAAATACCCCCAGCAACAATAGATCCCCTTACAACAAAATAACCCCTCAACAACAATAGACCCCCATTCATCAGCAATAGATCCTCCCCAGTGGCAATAGATTTGTCAGCAGCCAGCAACAATGGACCCCCCCATAACTAGGTTCTGTAGATTGTAAGCTTCTGGGCCTGGTTGCCCACTGTTCTTCATGTAGTACTGTGGAATGCTGCAAAAAGCTTTTTCCAGGCAGATTAATGAGCTGTTATGTATAGATTACATTTTGTTATCCAGCACAGTTAGCTATTAATTCTGTTTTGTGGTCTCTCCTGTCGTCTCCCATATATTGTAGATACCAAGAAAGATTTATGAAGGATGAAGAATGATTACATGTTCTTTAGGTTCGTCGAGGGTCACTCTCTCTCCACTGCCAATCATGAACTTAGATTACCTCTGCTTGAAGGGAATGTATAGCCTTTTCAATATTTTTTTAGATATACTGTACATGTAAAAGAAATCGTCTTGATATAAATACCTCATCATTGTATAATAACATTTACAAATCGTGTTTCAATGTATAAATGTTAGAGTGTTACTAAACCCAGGACCCTGCATTCACTATATCTGGTCTCCCCGGACCCTGCATTCACTATATCTGGTCTCCCCGGACCCTGCATTCACTATATCTGGTCTCCCCGGACCCTGCATTCACTATATCTGGTCTCCCCGGACCCTGCATTCACTATAACTGGTCTCCCCGGACCCTGCATTCACTATATCTGGTCGCCCAGGACCCTGCATTCACTATATCTGGTCTCCCAGGTCCCTGCATTCACTATATCTGGTCTCCTTGGACCCTGCATTCACTATATCTGGTCTCCCTGGACCCTGCATTCACTATATCTGGTCTCCCCGGACCCTGCATTCACTATATCTGGTCTCCCCGGACCCTGCATTCACTATATCTGGTCTCCCCGGACCCTGCATTCACTATATCTGGTCTCCCCGGACCCTGCATTCACTATATCTGGTCTCCCCGGACCCTGCATTCACTATAACTGGTCTCCCCGGACCCTGCATTCACTATATCTGGTCGCCCAGGACCCTGCATTCACTATATCTGGTCTCCCAGGTCCCTGCATTCACTATATCTGGTCTCCTTGGACCCTGCATTCACTATATCTGGTCTCCCTGGACCCTGCATTCACTATATCTGGTCTCCCCGGACCCTGCATTCACTATATCTGGTCTCCCCGGACCCTGCATTCACTATATCTGGTCTCCCCGGACCCTGCATTCACTATCACTGGTCTCCCAGGACCCTGCATTCACTATAACTGGTCTCCCAGGACCCTGCATTCACTATATCTGGTCTCCCAGGACCCTGCATTCACTATATCTGGTCTCCCTGGACCCTGCATTCACTATATCTGGTCTCCCTGGACCCTGCATTCACTATATCTGGTCTCCCTGGACCCTGCATTCACTATATCTGGTCTCCCTGGACCCTGCATTCACTATATCTGGTCTCCCAGGACCCTGCATTCACTATATCTGGTCTCCTTGGACCCTGCATTCACTATATCTGGTCTCCCCGGACCCTGCATTCACTATATCTGGTCTCCCAGGACCCTGCATTCACTATATCTGGTCTCCCCGGACCCTGCATTCACTATATCTGGTCTCCCCGGACCCTGCATTCACTATATCTGGTCTCCCCGGACCCTGCATTCACTATATCTGGTCTCCCCGGACCCTGCATTCACTATATCTGCTCTCCCACAGTACACAACGTATTAATAAGTATATGTTTAATTCTATCAATTATTTATACTTTAATTCTTGAGATTGGGTAAATAAATTGGGGCAGGCTGGTAGGGGCTCCAGTGCATCGCTTTGCCCAGGGGCCATTGATGCTGTTAACCACTTCCCGACCGGCCGTTGCATATAAACGGCCGGACGGTGGCACTGCAGGGTCGGGTGGCCGTTTATAAACGGCCTCCCTGAACCCTGCTTGTCCGCGCTCCTTGGGAGCGCGCAGCACCGCAATCCGGTGCCCGCTGTGTCCTCCGGACACAGTGAAACACCGATCGTTGGACCGGACCTCTGTACGAGGTCCCGATCATGTGATCACTGATTGGCCAATCAGTGATCACATGCAAAGTAGTAAGCAAGATGTCACTTGTGACATCATTGCTTACTACGTGTGAAATCTGTGAATGATCACAGAGGTCACATGGTACAAGGCTATTCACAACAGCCTTGTACCATGTGACAAGCTGTGACCAATCACAGCTCACTCAGTACTTCTCAATGAGTGCAAGAATGCACACAGAGAGAAAGAGAAATGATTGCTTTTACATCCTATATGGGTGTAAAAGCAATCAGTGTAAAAAAAAATCTTCATCACCCCCCACAAGTAGTACAGTGTCACCATGGTGACACTGTACTGCTAGGGTGACAGTATGTAAAAAAAAAAAAATAAAAAAAAATAATAATATATAAAAAAATAAAATAAAAATGTAAAAAAAAAATGTTTAAAAATTATACTTTACTAAAAAAGATAACGGAAACAATTTTGGCCAAGATTTATGATGAAATATTATTTATTTGCAAAATTTTTATAAAATTTTTTCAAAATTTTTGGACCTTTTCATTTACATAGCAAAAAAAATATAAAAATCCCAGCGGTGAATAAATACCACCAAAATAAAGCTTTATCTGTCTCAAAAAAATGGTAAAAAATTCATTTGGGTACAGTGTTGCATGACCGCGCAATTGTCATTCAAAGTGTGATAGCGTTGAAAGCTGAAAATTGCCCTGGTCAGGAAGGGGGTAAAAGTGTCCGGTCTGGAAGTGGTTAAAGCGGCCCTGTCTAGCAAGGGCATACCGGTGAAACAAAGCATAGAGACAAGTCATCAATAATTACACCCCAGTGAGTCAGCTGATTGAAAACACTGTATGGCTGATATGGTATCTGAACAACTATCACACCCGGTCATTCACCAGGTGCGACTTGTCATGCCATTCGGGTTGCAAATTGCATTGGCACGTCACACCCTATTGTCCACAATTAAAACGTTCAGGAACTGAAAAAGTTACAGTGGGGGAATGTATCAAAATTGGAGCAGCCAGAATCTGGACCAGCTATGCATAGTAGCCAATCAGCTTCTCACCTCAGCTTTGAAAATAAAAGATACAAGCTGATTGGTTGCCATGAACTGATCCAGATTCTGGCTACTCCAGTTTTGATAAATTCCCCCTTTTCTTTAGAAACAATTGAGTACCATCCGTGATAGTTTTTTTTTTTTTGCACTAACATACAATTTTTCAGGACACGCTATCGGGGTGTTACTGTTAGTGAAACGGGTTTTTTTTATTTAATTAGACACATTGGTATGAGTATATGTATAGTGTAAGCGACCCACTCATTTAATATATTTTATTTTATACATTTTTTTATTCACTCAATTATTTATATTTAATATATTTTATTCACCTAATTATAATTAATAATCTTAATTATAGCACACATCAAATACACATGATATATTAATTTTCTCACTTATTAATCATTTTTTCAATTAATATTAATACACCATAGTAGCTCACAAGGATCACACTTATTAAGCTTTCGGGGTGTGCCCCCCTTCTTCAAGGTCCAAGCAGTACTAATATGGCTACAAATCATCCTTTCCTTTAAGGAGGGAGGCAATAGCAATAATTACTTACTGTATAATCTATAACTCTTAGATGTGTACTCAGGAGCCCCCGGTACAAAAGTTCATCTCATTTGAAGGACTTTTTAGAACATTTAAGGGTCAAAAGCATCAAATATAGCCAAAAAAGCTTCCCCCTTTTTCAGGGCTAATATAAAAAAAAAAAAAGAAAAAAAAAAAGTAAAACATAAAGTCTATAACACATCAACATTTACATTTACAGTAAATACAGTCATGATACCTAAAGGAAATTAGCAGAATAAAAAATTAGCACTTCGCTTTATTATCAAGATTGCTACTTTCTTGCCTGTGTGCTGCCAAAATTGCCCGTTTGTTACTTTTTGTTTTTAAAGAACTTTATGAAAAAAATAAAATAAATGTACAAACAGGCAGGATTTTTAATGCAGAAGAGACATGCTGTCTCTCTTTTGCAGTAAAGGATAAGTTCTACTTTTGACAAAAATAATAAATGCACATTGGGGAACTGGAGAAAATAGAGAAGGGCAACCAAACTGATAAGAGGCATGGAGGAGCTCAGCTATGAGGAAAGATGCAGGGGTGGCCAACCTGCGGCTCTCCAGCTGCTGCAGGACTACAAGTTCCATCATGCCTCTGCAAGTCAGTAACTTCCCATCTTTGCAATGCCTCATGGGAAATGTAGTTCCACAACAGCTGGAGAGCCAGAGGTTAGCCACCCCTGGATTAGAGGAACTGAATGTATTCTCTCTTGAGAAGAGGAGATTAAGGGGGGGATATGATCACCATGTATAATACATAAGGGGGGATATGATCAACATGTATATAAATACATCAGTGGTTCATATAGTGAACTCGGTGTAGAGTTATTCACCCTGAGGTCATCACAGAGGACAAGGGGGCACTCTTTACATCTGGAGGAAAAGAGATTTAATCTCCAAACACGGAAAGGTTTCTTCACAGTAAGAGCTGTGAAAATGTGGAATAGACTCCCTCAAGAGTTGGTTCTGGCCAGCTCAGTGGATTGCTTTAAAAAAGTCCTGGATTGTTTCTTAGATACACAGAATATAACTGGATACTAACATTTATAGGTAAATTTGATCCAGGGAATATCCAATTGCCTCTCAGGGATAAGGAAGGATTTTTTTCCCTGCAGGAGCAAATTACTTCATACTTTGCTTGGTTTTTTTGCCTTCCTCTGGATCAACTGTGGTTGAAGGATTATAACTTTTTTTTTTATGGTTGAACTGAATGAACTTTTGTCTTTTTTCAGTCAGACTAACTATGTAAGGGCTCGTTCACACTAGGCTGTTTTGCCAACGCTTGCCAAACCACTCCATCCCCCACAGCTATTTCCTCCTGTACCACTCTCCCCTCCCTCCTAGATTGTAAGCTCCAAGGAGCAGGGCCCTCGAACCCCTCGTGTATCGTATTGTATTGTTACTGTGCTGTATCGTGTACCATCTCCCATTATAATGTACAGCGCTGAGCAAACTATTGGCGCTATATAAATACTGTATAATAATAGGGAAACCTGGGGAGTAGGGGGAAACGTATGGTGCACAGGGAGAGTGATGAGTGCGGTGGGGGGGGCAATTACTGGAATCGATCTCCTGTATGGCTCTCTCTGCAGGAGGTGAAAGCCAGCAGAAGGAAGAGGAGAAGAAGCCAGCTTTCAGCTGCTGCAGAGAGAGCCATACAGGGGATCGGTTCCAGTAATCCCCCCTTCTCCAATCACCCTCCCTACCCACATCCAATTAACACCCCCTTGTGGTCTGGGCCCCATACAGGTGGACTAGTATTACCCCCTTATCCACATACTCTGCCTGTAAGCCTGTCACTCTCAAACCATTCTGCAACTACCCCCCATGCCTTACCGCACATTGCTATTAAATCCTCTAATTAGCTATGGCTTGCCATTCACTGATTGATTGCTGGAGATAGCTTCAGGGCATCACAGGGCTTGCAAAGCAATATGAGAATGTTTTCGAATTCACTTGCTCATTACAAGTAACTAAATGTGCGCCCACTAAAAGTACACTAAATGTTCCCTCTAAAGTGATGTAAAACATATGGAGCCGGAACGCCGCGTCTGCTTAGCACAGATACAAAGAAAAATCACTAATATCTGGTTGGGATTCGGCATTCATCATTCACTCTTCAAACAGTATTTGGAGCTGTAATTGTGTTGCTGCTTAGATTTATACCTCCTGTCTCCCCAAGGTCAAATGTCTTGTGTAATTCCCTACTACTCAGTCATCTGGCTACCCCTAGTATCACCTTCCATAGCCACATGTGCCGAAGCTGGGGGCAGATAGACAATGGCTAGAGGAGTCAGGGAAAGCGTCAACTGGGCTGAAAAGCACAGATAACCTGTACAACAGAGTCATTGAACTCTTATTGAGGAAAGAAAGGAGGATGGATTTTGTGTACAAATAATTAGTAGTTGTAGTCAACTCTGACTAATTCTCCATGTCCTCATCTTTTTTGTGCTGAATTTTTAGGTTACAGCCAAAAATTAAAGTGTTACTAAACCCACAACAGTAAAATCAGTCTGTATATGCAGTAAAGCATGCTTGTTATACTCACTTTGGATCCTAAGGGGTTAATCCTCTGCATTGTGGAAAAGGCTGTTTGATCCTGTGTTCTCTGATCCTCCCCTTCTTTTACTGTCCCCAATCCATCTGCTGACAGAACAGAGCCTTGGGTGCAAGCTGGGGAGAATGTCACCAGCACACCGAGGATCACCAATATGGGTCCAAAAGTTTTAATGAACGATCACATGTGAACATGCCTGATGAAGACTCCGAAATGTTGCCTTGCTGTAACTATGTGATCGTTTATTAAAATTGGACCCATATTGGTGATCCTCGGTGTGCTAGTGACATTCTCCCTTGCTGATTCTGTTCGGTTCCAGCCGACGGTCGCTGCAGCACCCACTTATACACACAGCCATTTTTAATGCAGGAACGTGTGTGTTTGGATTGTATGCTTGCATTGGGGGCAAGCTGCACACGCTCAGTTTTGTGTGTATTTCTAGAGAGTTTTTTGTTTTTTTTCTTGGGAGAGTGCAGGTGACC